AGAGAGAGAGAGAGAGAGAGAGAGAGAGAGAGAGAGAGAGAGAGAGAGAGAGAGAGAGAGACAGAGAGATGCGTACTATTCGAATAGTACACACATGCGTACTATTTGAAGGTGCGTACTATTCGGATTTTCAGGAGCTACTTCGAAAAATCGAGTTTTCCAGGGAAAGTTGAATAGTACATACGTGCGTTTTGTTCGGGGGTGCGTTTTGTTCGGGGGAAGACTGTAGGGCTGGGAGAGGTTGTCCCGGCCTAGCGCTGGTGCCTGCGACTGCTGCCCAGTATATCTGAGGTAGGGCCAACAAGTGCCCCCGTCGATGGGGAAGCAGGGGTTATGCTAAGGAAGAAGAACAAAGAAGTAGGCTGGGGTCGGTCCTGTGCGCATCCCAAAAAAAAAAAAAAAAAAAAAGTTGTGATACACCAATTGGCCTAGCTCAGTTGGTAGATCAGCGAAATGTTACAGACCCAAGTTCGAATCCAGATGGAATCGGATGCGTGAGAACGACTCTGAATTAACCTGGGACCGGTCAATTCAAAGATGATATCTAAAGGCTGTCGCCCTTTGAAAAAAGGAATAAATAAAAGAAGAGTTATGATAGGAAAAAAAGGGGAAGAAGGAAAAGAAATTAAAAAAAAAAAAAAAACAAGAGTTATGATACCGCTTGAATGTCAGTTGTTTATGGTTCATCGATGCAAGTCATCAGGGAGTTCTTGCCAGCACTCACAAACTGGGCTGTTTAATTCTGTTAACATGACCAGATGCAGATCAAGTAGGCTGCAAGCGGTTAATGGAAGGCTTCTCCAGCCACTGTGGTCTGGCAGCCCCGATAAATTTTAGGGGTGAGCCATTCGTTTTCTCAAGTTGCCTGCGGCCGTGTACTGGCGGTTTAGCCCACCAACTGTAATTGAAAGGAAACAATAGGTCTTCTCCCCCATAACACGTCATGACATGCCAAGTCTCGTAATGACTACAGTCCCTGGTCCTTGCATGGCCGGGCCGCGGGGGAAAACAGTGCGGACCCGGGCGGCCCGTTTGATAGCCTAGATCGATACCAATTACTGAGGAGTTATCGCTTGGGGGCTCTTCTTGATCGAGGAGTTGCAGGTGAAGAATGGACGCGAGCAACTCAGCCATGACTTCCGCTGGGCAGTTTTGCCCTTGCCCATACGTTGTATAGCAGTGCTGTGACTGTTTTCAAGCCCGCCAGTGCAGGCGATTTCTCCGCTTCACTTTTTCATCCGTTTTGGAGAGAGGGTTAATGGAAGGCGGAGAAAATTCGGGGGTTTTCGCTGCATCACCACGAGCAATGTCGTCGAAAATTTTGCGAACAAACAATGCCTAAAATGACACCACCTATTAACCATTAGCGAGGATGGGGTTGAAGGGCCTGGCTTTTCCCTGCAGGGTTCTCGCTCGAAAGGAGGACCTGGCTTTTCCACTTCTGGGTGCCGGCTCGAAAGCTCCCCAGTAGGGAACCGGGCCCATCTGGTTCAAAGAGACCCATTTTGGGTGTTCCACCAAATTTTCTTCTTTGATGACGTGGCCAAGGGATCTGTCCTATGCCACTGTGCGAACGGTGAAGGACATATCTGTGACCACTTTGGGTTCCTCTTGACCTTCTGTACATAGCGGTCTGGGACACGGGGGTGGAATCGTCAACATGAGATTTTTACGGTCGGCTACGGGCTTATCTGCAATGTGGGGGGCTTTGGCTCTCAGTGATTTGTTCGAGAGGGTCTATTCTGAAGTGTTTTCTTCACTCTGTTCAAAAACACCCTTGGTTTGCGCAGCAATGATAGCGATTTCTTAAGCAATGACGGTTCACCTTTCATCTTCCTGTCTCATTCATTGCATCACTCGTCAATGGTCATTCTCTTGGTTCTCTTTTCTTTGCCGTTGGATGATTTCCTCACTTCTTGGTTCGCCCCATTTATGATTTCTCTAATCACATCCCTTGTAGGTTCTGTGTTTTCTTATCGTCCGGTTCACAGATAGACATTTGTCACATTTCCCTTTCTCTTTTTTGAAGTTTTTTCCTTTTTTTTGTAATACCCGAAAGCACTGAACACTCTTTTACCAAAGGATCTCATATCAGGGTCTGTGGAGGTCCGGGGTCCGGACACGGTAGCCTCGGCTGAACCCCGTTTGCAAGTGTTTTTTCAAAGTTCTTCATGCCGGCCACCGCTGATACAATCTCTTTTTACCAAGGGTAACAGCCTTGGGATATCTTCTTCGATCTGACCAGCCCCAGGTAATTCAGAATGATATAATTCCATTTATCAAGGTCCATCTGGATTTGAAGTCAGGTCTGTATTTCAACAGTTCATGGGTGTACCAAGAGAGCTAGGACGATTCACTCCCAGATTCATTCTTTTTCTTTTCTTTTCTTTCTTACTCTCAGATCCATTCTATTCTTGGTGACATGAAATTGCTGTGCTGCTGGAACCTTCAAGTGCCGAGTCTTGTCCATCTCTCTCTCTCTCTCTCTCTCTCTCTCTCTCTCTCTCTCTCTCTCTCTCTCTCTCTCTCTNTCTCTCTCTCTCTCTCTCTCTCTCTCTCTCTCTCTCTCTCTCTCTCTCTCTCTCTCTCTCTCTCTCTCTCTCTCTCTCTCTCTCTCTCTGTGAGCCTTCTCCAGGTATCGACTACAAAAGTGATTGACCGCAGTGTGTCTGGAAAAAAACATGCTGTTAACCGTGTAGAGTAGAGGTGAGGTATCACACACATGCAATCAAAAAAAAAGATCGAAGAGACGACCAATGATCGGAGTTGGTACAAGTGTTGATGCAAGAGGGATGATCGCAAAGAGTTGACACACTCTGGTAATCATCCTGGAACTTTCATGGAACTTTCCTGATACACTTCCCTGCTTCGGCAAAGAGGTAGACCAGTGTGATCTGGCATGTCGAACAGCATGCCAACAGTCTTCCCAGGCAGGAGATCGCTACCCTTCGGGAAGAAATAGTATACTTGAAATGGTCCATATGCTTGAAATGGTCCAAACATTTCGCAGGACGGCGGTCACGGAAGTCGGAATCCGCCACGGAGTGCGTAAGAGCTCACCTATGAAACACGTAAGTTTAGACTTGAAATCATACGGGGAGTGGGTCACATGGCTGTCAGAAGACAACCCCACAGAGGCATTGTCATACGTCAAGTCAACAGGACCGACAGGGGACTGGGGACTGGGGACCATCCACGACATCGAACAGCCAGGGAACAGCATCAGCAGGGTATCAAAAACAGTACGCGCCAGGGTCACAGCCAAACCGTCTCTCCTCAGAAAAATCAGAGTAGTGGAGGACAACGACTAAAGAACCTTCCAGCCAGGAGTAGCCTTACAGGACCTGGAGCTTGACCCGGGACACAGAAACACACCAACATCCTAGACTACTTGATCAATTTCGGCTATAAACTCAGATGAAAACCGGTAAACACAGAGCTCATCTTGTCCCAGCGATGGGAGCAACACATCTTGGGATGCCTGGGCAACACGGGGAAGAATGATTGACAGGTCCCTCTCGCCATCAGAAACACCCGCATACGAAGCATGCAATGGCTAATCTACTATCACGCCTTGCCGGTCAATACATGGCTCAGCAGGAGAAGGTTAGAAACAGCTAGAAGAGACTTCGATGACAGCCGCGCAGTCTGCAATGAAGGCTCCCTCGAGGATGTGCCACACTGTTTAATGAACTGCCCAAATGCACAAAGGATTTGGAGCAGAGCGCAGGAGTACTGGACGACGCTAGTCGCCACATCGTTGCCAAACAACCTGCTGACACTCCTAACGGGTATGGCACAGCCACGTTTCTCTGAAGACTGGCAGTCAACCCTCTTGAGAAGACTTCGGCCCTTCACACTGTGGACCGTATGGAAGACACGATGCAAACAAACGATAGACGGCCAAAATACATCAACCCGAGAGGCCTGGGAGCATGTTCTACAACTCCTACACACGGAATTCATCAAGGATAGACTCGGAATGGGCAAGCTCGGCCCAGTGAAGGGTGATCCCCCGAGACTGTTATGGAAACGGAGGGAAGAACAGCAAGGGAGGGACCGGACAAGGGACCCGGACTCTTTAACAAATGGCGCGTTCACAGAACAGCTTAAGGGACATAAACTCAGCATAGTACGTTCAAAAGCCTAGGCGTTAAAGAAAATAGGGAGTTGGTCTCTAGAACATGGGACTGTAGGGTTTAGGGTTTAAGGAAAGCGGCAGTGTATGTGCCTCAGGATTTGGCGGCCTTCCTCAATAGCAAAAAAAGCACTGCGTAGTAGAAACTAAAAGCCTCTGTGGCGATTGACAGCAGTGTTAGTCCAGTCTCTAACTTCCCTTTTTGGAATTGTACTATTGTAGCATAAAAAAAAAGACTTGAAACACATGTACATCGTGGTAAAGTCAACGGTGTGCGAAGAGCAGCTGTAGAGATAATAGAATAGTAATAGCCATATGTACCTATCCATGGGGGTTGCCCTGACGAGGCTGGTTCCGGTAGCACCTGAAATGCCCCAAAAGATCGAAGCAGATGCTAGCATGTCTCTGGAGCAAAGGGAAGTGGTGAAAGGTGTCTAGTTGGTCTGTGTAATCCTTTGCAGGGCTTGCAGTTAGGAACAAAGCACCATCTCTCCGCTGTGCCATGCTGCCTAGATGGTTGCCAGGACACCTTTTTTCTTTTCCTTTTTGAAAAAGGCGACGGCTTTGAGATGTCATCAGTGCGCCGGCCGGCCCCAGGTAATAGAAAAAAAATACTTTGTTCTGTTCATCTGGTAGACTGGTACTGGATTCGAACTCCGGCTAGTATTTCAACAGCTCATGGGTCTACCAACTGAGTTGCCAGGACTCCTCAATCTTGCATGATGAAAGTTTTTCAACTTTTCTTTTCACTTTCCTAAGTTTCCTTTTTTTTTTTTTTTTTTTAATAACAAGTCCTTATGGCCCTGGATGGTCTGGACCTAAGTTTCCTTGTTATTACTACTCAAAATCCAAAATTGCCCTGTTGATCGAACCAGATATTGCAGGAAAGTTCTACGAAAGTTCCCGGCAAGTTCCACGAAAGTTCCAGGAAAGTCCCTAGCTCTACTCTGCACGAGTACCTGTTTCGCGCTCTACCATCTTCACCGGAATAAAACGCCCGGTAATTATCGCTGCGCTGGGACTGAAAGTTGTGCCAAATGCAGCTACAATGACCGGGCATTCTATTCGGGTGAAGACGGTAGTGCAATGAACTTGCAGGTCAGGAAGCAGGTTGTACACTAACAGCCTTAGTTCGTCAGTTTTCTGGGTTTAGAGGACCGGGGGGCTTGACCTGTTATACTTGCTGGGCCCTCTCTTATCGGTAGTCCTAGACCATTAGGACTTTTGCTTTTGTCTTTTTCTGCTGTTCATCTCTAGACCAATAGGTCTTATAGTTTCCACGGCCTCCCAGGTCTGTAGTGAGTCAAGTCTAGAAGTAGCGTGAGCAAATTTTGGCTGGGGTCTTTTCCATTTTTCGTTTCGCTGGGAAAATGATGCCGGACTGTAGGTTCAGCGCAGCTGCGCAATGCGGACCGAGGTCGCCTTCTTCTTCAAGAAAAGCCATAGCTGGTGGTCGGGGATGAAGTCAAAGGGCACGCTGTAACAGGTGTTCAGCTCTGCTGGAGGTTTTTGCCATACCTGTTCTGTTGTGTACTGGGCGCTGCCATTACTTCTACTCCGCAGCCATAATTTCTGTTCCTCCTCACGAGGGACTTTGTCTTCATCGAAGTATTTGGTCGATCGCTCTCTTGTCCATTTGGGATATTTAGCGCTGCACTTCAGTGGGGATGCCAGACTGGTGTTGTTATTTTTGGAGGTGCCTGGTTCAGATTGGCTCCGGGGTGATGGTTCTGGGATTCCGCAGCTATGGCAGCCGTAGCCAGGTTGATGAGGTGGCGACGAAGAAGAAGAAGACTCCAAAACATTCCTTGAACTCTCGTTTCGGGTTGCTTGGGGTTGTTGTAAAGCGGTTGTGATTCTTGGAGTAGAAGTACTTTTGATTGATCAGAGGAGGACGGGGGTAAATAAGAATTAAACTGCATTCAATTCTCCTTCTGTATTGAGCTTTCGCTGCATATCTCACTCCGGTTTTGTGTGGATTTCCCTCCTTCGAGTCAACTCTGCAACTGCATGCGTGTATGGGAACGTGTGAATTCGTTGTGGATTGAAGCTCAATTGGGTACATAACAGTAGTGTGCAGTTTTAGAGCATATACACACTTCGAACCTTGTTCGATTGATTTTTTATATGTTTTGAGATAAAAGAAAGGTCCAGGGCGTAGTAGAGGGTGGTGGCCAGGCCTCAGGAGGTGCCTCTTGTACTCATCCATTCGAAGGTCAGAGGGATTGCGAGGACCCATCGATTGGGGAGTAACCTCAGGATGCCACCATCATGGTACCATGACCTATGCTAATGCTCAGATTGCAAGTCGTGAACGTCTTCATCCAGATACTACCCTAACTCTAATGTTAAGGACGACCCGGGCACAGGTTGGGTCCATGCATATGCAGTCATCCCCCATCTGTGCCTCGTCCTGCAGACTCTATGGGCAGCGAACCACCCTTCCACTAAAATGTGATATTCCGCCCTCCCCTATCCTCCACTAAGGCTCCCCAGGAATCCACAGCCCAGACTAATTCCTCCAATGAATTCCCACGGACCCGAACCAGGATGAAGCACCACCCGCAGGCATAGTGAGATACCTGTCGGATGAGAAGTACCCATTACCTACCCCATACTCGCACACAGTGTGTGCGTACGATTCTCCCCCCCGAGATGGGCCCTACCGTAGTCTAAGCTCTGTGTGGACTCTCGTACAGGTGCCATAGTGACTGGAAACATACTGGCTGTACCCAGGCTCGACCATGTCACCCCCATGGACTAGTACATACTGGCAAGACTGACAGATCGAAGGGTCCAAGTGGACACGCGGAGGTATCGACGGTTTTGACGGTTTTGGCAGTTTTTTGGTTACGACGGTCTAGGCAGTAAACCCTCCCCCTTTAATACATATCCTAACCTGTCCCTCCCCNCTGATCCTCAGACCCCCTAAGACCAAGCACTCAAGCAGCCCTCCCTTTGGCCCTATCCAGCATACTACAACTATGGACCTAAAGTCCTAGACCCCTTGGGCAGCGCACAGGCAGTGTCTATATAAATCTTACCATGTGTCAGCCCAAGGGGGTTGTTAGAATGGCTTTGTGCGTTATGACAGCGCTTACCGGTGTACGTGCGCGAGGCTGCAATTGAGTTTTGAACCTGTAACCTCATTCATACCACAATGCGCATTTCCAACCTGTGCTCTAACCATTGAGCCATTTGCTTTAAGAAACAAAACAACCTTGTGGATTGCATAAGATGCCTCCAGGAAAGTTCATCGAGTGGTTACGCCTTTCACTCAACCCCGTGCTCAGGAACGAGGAACAGAAATCCAACCAACCTTAACCACAAAAATGTTGCAGGATGACACTTCCTCCACATACTTATTTTGAACAGCATCAAGGTACAAGACATCAGAGTATCCTTGTCTCTTTGCGTCCAGTTGAGTATAGAGAACCTGCAGAGAGAAATGAAATAACCGAACAAGGCATGCTTAGTTTCACAAATTCACATCTACTATGATCTCCGCCCTTCGTCTCCCCCCCTTTTCATTCATATACTACACCATACCTTTTTCCTTATGCTATGACCTTGTGAGAGTGAGAAATGAAGGTTCAATGGTTCATTGCATATTAGACCATGAAACGGCTGCCTTCACTTCTGCGGCTATCATTCTGCCAGAATAAGGAAGGGGGTGACATTACTATAATTATCTTCGTCATCATTGTTTCGCATCTTCTTGTTCTTATCGTCTTTCATCGTCCTTGTTTCAATTTGTTTGTTATGAAAAAACAGTTTCTTGGGTCATCTACATATGAAGTTGCAAGAGGACAAAAGTTCAACCATGACAAGTTCGATGCCGGATTTGAAACTTGTGAACTAATATCAAGTCATACTTTGAAATTTGACTACCGTCTTCCCCCGAACATAACGCACCCTAAAAATGAATGTACACAAGCTATATTTCCGGCCAGATACTGCCAAAATGAGGGTGCGTTGTGTTCGGGGGAAGACGGTAGTTGCAAACAACATCATCATCAATCCAAAAAGAACAGATCGGTCACCCTCCCGGCAACCACCGAGCCAGCGCTGCCAGACCAGCAAAAACTTGAAATCGCTGAGCATTGCACAATCCACATTCTCACTCCCACCCAACTCATTGCAACCCTGCACAAAAAAGGATCACAGGTTTTCCCCCATGAGAGATGATGAGACCAAAAAAACAAAACAAAACAAAAAAAACATATCTTGCACATTCAGAAGCAGAGTGTGTGAAAGTTGCAGAGGAAGCGACAACACGACCACAAAAAAAAAAAAGGCCTTGCGCTGCAGAGAGAGCCAAAGTTGGTGAAGAAGGAACAACATGCAAACAGAAAACAGAATGAAAAACAGAGGATAACAAAAAAAAAAATTAATATTTTTATGCTGCTTCATACCGGTGCATAGTTCGAGATAGTCTTCACCCCTCCAGTGCCCCCTGGAGCTGCCCTATGGTAACTCTCCTCCACTTTTAGGTGAATCGGTGTCAGCTGACCACCCTGTTCTCCACAGCAAAAGTGCACAGAGGATTACAGAGACTGAGAGATATCAGATTCATGTTTTCAACTTTTCAACAGAAAAGGCGCATTGATGCATGATATTCGATGTAAGGCAGCAGCTCCTATGGATGATATTCGATACAAGGCAGCAGCTCCTCGGTCCACTACACAACACTCTATCTACATGCATTTGTATGCTTTCTGGACCTGATACATTCAAAATGTGTGACTCGTCCAAATCCACCTGGTCCAGAAAAAGTCCAAATGCAACGAGGACAGGATGGGTAACACAGAAAAAAGAGCCACCGCACACTCCACAGTTGTCAGAAAAAGAAAAGAAAGTCCTTCAGGACATCCGTTAAAAAAAAAAAAAAAAAACGTAAAAAAAAA